ATCTCTGAGGGCGACATCTCTAAAATATTTTTACAACAAAATAATTAACTTTAACTTAAACATGTACATAAAACGTTTTATTACCTAAGTCCATATTTATTGTGAGTGATTCTGATATTATGAAATATCCAAAAATTCTATATTATTTATGAATAATTTACCAAAGAACCAACACCAAATAATTTATAAATATGTTTAATTTGGACAATAAATTTGATAAGAGCGAATATTTGAGTTATAAAGTAATATTTAGGAAATCGTAAGTCCATCGAAAATATTCTTTTGAAAAATGAATCGGATAATATGGATAAAAATTATATGATGTCGATATTTAAAATCATTATCAAACACGTAAAGACTTTATCATATTTGTGTATTTCATGTAATTAAAAATAATTTTGAATAATTTATAGATATTTTTGTTTGAAAAAATTTCGATAATTATTATAATTATAGAATTTTTAGATAATTTAGATAGTTTTATTACTTTTAAAACAAAGTTCATCTTTATGTATTTTAAGTTTAATTGTTTTTTTGTTTGGTTCGATTCAATTTTTTTGTAATTGTTTGTACTAATATAATTTAAAATATAAGAATATTTTTCTGAACAGAAAGTTCAACAGTTAGCGTAAATTTTATTGAAACAAAAATTTGGATTAATTTACTCTATTTGTAAGATAAATTCATTTTTAATTTTTTGAATTGCAAGTTTTATTGTTAAATTATGTTGTTATTTTATGTTTAATAAACTATTGAATATAAATATAAAATTTAATATTTTGTTAGTTTATTTAACTAATAAAATTATTTATCTAATTTTTATAGGTTTATATAAATAATAATTTTTAAAAATAAAATCAACCAGATTCAACTTTTACCATTTACATTTCAAGATATTCTGCCAGATTTTGCAAGAAATTACTAAAAATTCAGCTAGATTCTGCTATTCACCAAAATTCAACCAGATTATGCTCTTACCATTTAAATCCTATATATACATTAAATACCTTTATACATTAGCTCATGATGGCCTTGATTGGTAAGTGTTGTAGTAGCTCTACACAACCAAAAAAAAATTCACAGCAACAAAACCAAACCAATTAGTGGATGATGTGTTGGGCTGTAACTGTAGATTAATTGCTGTAGAATTTGGGTTGTAGACGTTTTTGGTGTAGTTTTAGAATTTTGGCTGTAACTATTCGAAAGTTAAAGTATGATTGGTAAGTAGTAGATGTATGCTGTACAATTTTTTATAATTAAAATTATAAAATAAATTAATTGATATATTTATATTTTTCTTTTTGGTAGGTATAATTGATATTTATATTAATAATGTATATGGAAAATGTATTTAACTAATATAATCTTGTTTCTATATAAAATTAAAAGAAAATATGCACATATATTAATATTATATATAAGTAGTACATATATATTAATATTTTGTATAAGTAGTACATATATATTAATGTTTTTATATAAAWTAGTGTAAAAATTGTGTGTATATATATAACATATCTGTATATAACTATGTATATAAAAATTGTAAATTACGTAACACAAGTTATTTTATAACAAAATGTGTTGTGTATTG